CCTTTGTATCAGTGTACTTGTACTTAGCTGGAACTTGCTGTGGGTCTGTTTGCCCATAGGCTGCATTCCGAGGCTTTAGCCTTGTGGAATGGCCCCACCGTGCCCATTGCAGATCCCTGCTGCATCAAGGGATTGACTCTGATCTAAACCAAAATTGTGTTTTCATTAGCAGGCTAACGATGGACAGGAAGGTGCAATAGGCGTTTGTTTGGCCCTCTGTTTCAGGTGGCCTGCTTTTCCTGCGCACGAGGATGAGTTTCAAAGTTAACGCTCTGCTGGTGTACTTGGATTTTTCTTTTCCACTGGTGTCCCTCTCGAACATAATGCTAAATGTAATCTAAATCTATTACTTTGTGGCCTCACCAAGCTTCTTGACACTGATTTCTTCGTATTACTTATCTTTACAGAAATTCTTTTCTCGTTACTTGGAGGAAAGGCTGATGTATTCTGCAGACACTTCTGTCCATCTCTCCTGTGCAAACCATTCTTGGAAGCCTGCAGTGTCACCTTTCAAAATCTGGGGCTCCTTTTGATAGCAACCAAGGAATTTTTCTTTTCCAGCTTTCTAAATCATTCTGTTGCAGGATCTCATCTGCCATCCACAGTCACATGCCACAGGAGACATTAAGCACCAGTTAGTCATCTTCCACTGACAAAATCAGGGAGGTTTTGTACCATTCTTCTAAAACCATTAAACCCACAAGTGGCTATTGTTGAAAGTTGCATGCAGGGATTTACTCTGTTGTTAAAAAAGTCTTCCTCCTCGTGCATGGATTTTCTTCAGTCTGCCACAGTTTTCTTAACATGAAGAAAGCAGGAATAAAACAGGCTCTGCAGAGTTGTGTGCATTTCACCACAGCAATGTGTAATTAACACTGTCACACAATGTATTTTTCTTTGAGATTGCCCATTTTGCTGAATTCTAATTTGGGTCCTTCTTTTTTAGAAACACCAAAATACCTCTATTTTTCCTTTTGTGAGCATCTCTGCTTTTGTTAATCCTGCTGCTTCGGTTCATTGCCATACCCTTAGCAGCCGGTACTGGAAAACGGGCAGGTTATCCTGTCTTCTGTGTAAACTGGTTTTCTCAGAGTGTGTTTCTGTATCACTTCATATTGTTAGCCATGCCTCCCACTTTGGGACTACCTCCTGAGGCTGATGGCAAGTCGCTTTGTCACACTGAGGTGCAAAAATTGGTTTACCCACTCTGTGACAGGAACAATTAACAGGTAAGTCAAAGCTGCCTTCCCTAGCAGAACAATAAAACCTTGTAGGCAGACAGTTTATTATCTGCTTGTCTAAGGAAGCATCATTATGTTGTTCATTACAACAGTGTCTAGACTGCACTGCGATAACAAAATGTGCTGCTGACATACATACTCATACTCTGGCCAGACTCCTTCAATAGCCTGGTACGCGCAGTACGGCTACGGCCTCCCCTCTTTGTTGGAATTCATCTCATTTTGCATCATGCTTCATCTTGGAACATAGATGGACCGACTTGTCTGACCTAATGCATTTAATATCTTGGAGAAGCAATGGTCCATGCTGTAAACACCTAACAAACACATACGTTGCCTCACTTTGTGGTTTTATTTATGGCATATGCTGTGAGCATCTGCTATGGATAATGCATGCTAGAATCCTCTTGTGTGTGTATAGCCAGAAATATCCATGGATCTGGGATAAAAAGGAACTTTTTTGATGAGTTTCTTTCTTTAAATGTAGAAAATTGGTGTTAGGGTGTATCTGTCATTTAATTGATAACAGAATAGAACATTCAGCACTGATCTTTTTAAAATAATGAGAGGAAAATATAGTTAATTTCTTACATCTACTCACAAAGCTAACACACGTTCTCTTTTCTTTGCTAGAAAGGCTACAGATTTCATTAGGTTATTGAGTTGTGACATACAACAGTTTAAGCTACACTGCTTCGCTTCAGGTACTACCGTTACTTCTAATCCTATATCTTTCATGTAAAATGAGGAAAACATAAAGCACATTCCTGTGAATGCTTTGATTAAATACGAAACAAAACCAAGGTAGGCACAACATGGCATCTGAGCGATAAGAAAACTTTAACACAGTAGATCTTGTACTGAGGAGTGGAGTTCTGTAGGAATTTTAAGTGTATATCATTTAAAACCAAACTGCCGACAGATGTTTGCTACAATACTTGTTAGAGGGCTTCGTTATTTTTATAACCTTTTAAATTCCTCTGATTTATAGAAAACGGCCATTTAAAGTCCATAAAAGTTAATCCCAACCATGGAATTATTTGCCTAAAACAAAATTTACTCCCTTTGCTGAGGGCTTTGCCCACATGGGGAACTGTTAAAGGGCAGCTGCACGGGGCTACCTGCTGCCTGAAGGCACCGAGTCCCCAGACTGTTCACACGAGGTCTGCAGGGGCCCTTGCCTCAGTTTCTGAGGGTCTCAAACAAAGTCTTCATGCAAAAGTAAAGCGTATTCTCTTCCTTGGGTGCTTCCTGAAGTCAAGCCAAAAGCAAAAAGTCTTCCATGCATGCAGAGTGTGCAATTGTCAAAGATCAACGATTTATCTCAAACTCCGTTTCCTCCATCACCTCTGGTAACACTGCTCCTCTAAGATTAACCTTCAGTACCAAATTTTGCCCCTTACATACCAGACAGTTCATAGCCTGGATTTAAAAAAAGAAAAGTCACAAGAACGTTTTTGGAATGGAAAAGGGATTATAAATTATGGGGTTTTCCCATTTATCTCTTAACAATATCCAAGGAAATTTTGTTCTCACCACCGGGTCACTCACAATGACTATTTGCAGCATAAATTATGGTAGGCACTAGACAATATTTTAATTGCACAGACCTATCTCTTCAATTAACCATCATGACTAAATTTCATGCTAGGCTGGAGCATGGTAAATATTTGCTGAGAGTGTGTTGTTTGCTTTTCAGTCATGATGATTAATGCAAGTTAATTGGCAATCAACTCAAATTACAGCAGGACAATACTGGAGACTAGATATAGGGATTGTGTCAAGACAGATTTTTTTCCAAATAGATAGGATTTATGGCAGCCAAATCTTGTTTCAGATTCACAGGTTTGAGGAGTTAAACTACTCTGCTCCACTGTGCAGCTTCTCTAGACTATGATTTTTGTATATAATTTTTATATCAAAATTTATCCGAGTCCAGCATACGTGATTTGCAAACATACTGTGCATCACATGGCTTCATAACTTTGAAGTCATGCTAGCTGGATCTACCCGAGATGTTTCGGGTATTCTTAGATACTATCATTGCAAGAAGTTCAGTTTTTGTCAACTCAGCAAGTGTACAAACCTTTGTACAGTAATGGTGAGAGCAGGTATCTTCCCCTCAGTGCAATGCAGGCTTTCCTCCTGAGCAGGCTTTTGCTTGTGCAATGTCTCTTCCCATCTTTCTAACGTGTGAGCAGAATATACTCCTGCCTCAGGCACTAATCACTGCTATGCCTCTACTCTGGTTAGAGGAATTCCTTCCTTGAAAGGCGGTAAGTATTGTGGCTCATGCAGAAATCAGTCCCCTTTCCCACAGCAAACTTTCTTTTTGTCTTTGTCCTTCGGCATCGTTTTGACTAGAAAATGGGATTCCAGTTACTTTCCTACAAATCAGGGCTCTGGCTCACAAGCTGACCTGCTACAACAGCGTGGCTGGAATGGAAATATGGGAGTGGAGCTATTTGGTCTAGTTACCAGTTGTTGTTTACTAGAATAGTAAGAACATAATGTTTTAATATCCCAACCCATTATGACCTGGTTTAGATATAACCAAACATCAAAGCTAACCAATGAGAAACAGACAGTGCAGGATTGACTCACTCGCTGTACTATTCTATAGATGTGTGGAGACATACAATTATTTTTCTGAACCAAAGTTTTATTTGAAAACAAAAATGTTCACAATCTGACTTTATGGCTTGTTTTCATATTTTGGCATGGTATATTGTATTGGAAAAAAATGTCTTTAATTAAAAACAGCCTTTTGAACATTACCCCAGACTTCAATTTTCATCTCCTGTTTTAGTGCTTCTCTCCATGTCCCCTCTCCCTCCCACATACATACACTCCATGTGTTGAACTCACCCTTAAAAACTTTCATCGCTCCCTTCCCTATTGTTTTGCGAGTCCTCCTCTGAGGTCTCCGTGCCTGCACAACACCCTCTGAAGACTGTCTGTGTGGGGTGTAGCCCCTGCATGCTGTTTGGGGTCTCCTTGCTGTGGATGTGCTGCCAGGGATGATCAGGAATTTCCCAACGACTTTTCTACACAGCTCATGAGTACTTTGCTGGTGTCACCAGGAGATAAAAGGAGATGGTCTCTCACATGCAGCTAGGGCTTCTGCTCAAGTTAGCAGAGCACAGCATCACAGAAGGGCTGAGGTTGACCTGACACCAGATAGTCTGATCTTGAGATGATCCAGTCCACCTCTCTGCTCAAGCAGGATCACCTAGAGTCACTTGCCCTGACTGTGTTGAGTTAGATTTTGAATATCTTCACAGATGGAAACTCCACAATCTCTCTGGACAACCTGTGCCAGTGCTCAGTCACCCACTCAGTAAAAAGGTGTTTTCTCTGGTTCGGACAGAGTTTTCTGTATTGTGCCCATTGCCTCCTGACCTGCCGCTGGGCACTACCGAGCAGAGTCTGGCTTCATCTTCTCTACACGCCCCCATCAGCTATTTATATAATTAGATCACCCCTCAGCCTTCTCCAGGCTGAATGGTCTGAGCTCCCTCAGCTTCTCTCTGTATGTCAGACACTCCAGCCCCTTGAACACCTTTGTGGCCCTTCATTGGTCTCATTCCAGCAAGTAGACAACTTCCTTGTACCAGGGAGCCAGGACATTACAGGAGAAAAAGGACAGTCTTCTGGCTAAGGACATTGACTGCCATCTTGCAGACATAAAATAAATACCATTTATCAGCCCAAAGTTCTCATAAAATTTTGGCTTTAATCTCTGTTTCACTACTTCAGTTAAAAGCAGACATGACAAGACTCTCTACTATCAGTGAGTTGCTGGATGAAGACACATTTTTGCCAGTGCCCATGCTCAGGTCTCAAGCGCTTTTCTGCAAGCAGCAGGTACAATTACCTGTGATCCCTCATATGCTTCAGGGTAAATGAGAAGCCAGACTTTAGGGAAGAGGTGCATTTCCACTTGCTCTGCACACCTGCAGCCATGCCATTGACAGTAGTGGACGTCTCCAGTGACTTGCTAAGATGCGTACATCTGAGGTGTACATGGTGTGTACAGCTCCGCTGCAGACGCGTGATGTCACTTTGCATCGAATATGATGAAATATTGAAGAGATGACTCAACAGAGAGGCCAGGGTCCCATGGAAGAGAGTACCAAAGCCTACAATCTGTGCCACAGTGCAGGTGCATATCAGGAGTAGGATGAAGATAGTGGAAAGTAGTTTTTAAATCATGCCAACACCTTTTGGGGATCGCCAAAACAAATCATTTCTGTTGCGGTTAATCATGAGTGACATGAAGCCAACTCTGCAGGAAAGCTGTCAGCTCCACCCTTGGAACAATTTAACGAACTGATGTTGAACAAGGCAGAGTCAGTGCTGTAAGCGAGATATGTGTCCTAGCATGGCACTCCAGTAACGGGGCTCTTCATTGCCCGGCACTGTTTCCCCAAAGCAATGTGCTGTGCAGATCAACCAAGAGCAAGCTCGGATGTTTTCACGCCACAGTTGGTATCACACATGGGAGTATGTCCTTTAAGACATACTTGTGGTGCAGGCGGGTCATCCAGGCTCTCCAGTCAGTTCCAGAAAGATTCTGCCCAAAAAAAACAGCTTTAAGAATTAGCCTACTGTTCATACATTTTTTGTGGTCTGCCAGATAAAAGGTGTGGGTTGTAAAAAATGTCTTCCCCCTGTAACATATGTTCGCTATATGCATGCCATTTTCCTTGCTGTTACACTGCATCCTGATTATTGTATGGTCACTTGCAATCTCTGAAATAAGAGGAAATTATCTGAAAATTACGCTTAGGTGAAGAAGCACTCAGGGAAATAATAGAAACAAACCCAGTGAATGGCATAATGAAAAGTGTAGTATTTTTCTGCTGTAGTTTATATGCTAAATAGTTTGCTTCTGTGAATGCAATTAAAATACATATCGATTCTTTATTTATTTTGTCATAGGCTGAGTACTTCTACGAGTTCCTGTCTTTGCGCTCTTTGGATAAAGGCATAATGGCTGATCCAACTATAAATATCCCTCTGCTTGGAACAGTTCCTCATAAAGCATCAGGTTTGTGCTGTTGATATTATAAATCGTGTTCCTGTAAAAAATATTCCACAGCCAGTAAAGTCTAAATATTTTATTATGAATTGCAGTTCTGAAGTTTATTGCTAAAGAAATGCTTGCCACAGTGCTTGACATTGAACAGTTTGTGAGTGCCTTTCCTGACTACAGCAGCATATTTTGTCAGAGCCAATGAAGCTTTTATGTGTAGATAAATCAGCAGAAAATTGTGCAAAATTGTTGCATAAAATTCATGTGCATGAATGTTATTACTTAAGTTGTGCAACTTTTGTAAAACAAAATCTTTTGTCAGTATAAGGAACAGTTACCAAATTATTCTGTTTCTCAGAGGTTGCAGTTTGTGGACGTTTTGCTTTCAGGTGGGGTCAGCTGTTGTCATCAGGCATTCAGCTCAAAGACGCAAGTTCTAGTTTAGGATATTATCATTTGTCACTTTTCCCTTTGCGCATTCTTAGTCCTTCACTGGAGCTTATAGCTCCACAGCAGAGGCTGAGCCCAAGCCGACGTGAGAGCTCCAGAAGCACCACGGTGCACAGTGAGCCAGGTGGAGTAAAAAAGCTTTCCATGAGAGGTTATCAAATCCACTTTGCTCTGAGGTGTTCCAAGGCTAGTACATGGTAGTCTCTGGCAGAATGGCAGAAATGTACATCTGGGTGACAGTAGTGTCTTAGTGATCATGGTTTCATGATCAGCCTTAGCTGACCTAAAATGGGAAAGAAATGAAAAATGGAACACGGGGATGGGGCTGCAAGTGGAACACTGATATACAGGTTTACATCTTTGACCAGTCTTCCTTTCTCTTCGCTTTTTCAATGTATAAATTCTGAAAGTTTGTGTTTGTTATCCTCCATTTTCAGCTTGTTGTAAAATGACGTTGAAGTAAAGTTGCAGCACAGCTTTTTGCTTGTGGCACCTGGAATCTAACATTAATGATTGCTCTCTCAATTCAGCACGGACTGAATGAGTGGTATTGAAAATGGATTTGGGTGAAGAGTGCTATAATATTTGTACCATAATTGCTGCAGTTTAATAGGTTGCAAGCCCAATAAATTGGCAAGTGGAGACATTTAAAAGTAACTAAAAAAGTCATGAAGGCAAAGTTCTTGTTAAGCATTATTTCTGTCTCCATACAAAGCAGGTGAGATATGTGGGAAGCTCTGCACTCAGCATCCTCTAATATAAGCTAGTTTCTCCTCTAATTTTTAACTATCCAGAAAAGCTAGCCCAAAATGACCCCCTTCTGACTGTGTTTAGGAAAACATAATCTGCAAGTGCAGGGAGACCAGAGTTAAGATCTCACCGTTCCAGCAGAAGGTCTGTTAACCATCATGATGGGAGGTCTGATTAAAGCCAAAAAGGACTTCCCCTGTTTGCAGCACCGGTACCTCAGCTCCAGGACTAATACGGGCATGTCCATGGTATTTCTTTCCGTGGATCGTGTGCAGTGCACCACCGCGCTTAGTACATATAAGCTGTATTTAAGTCCTGTTTGGCATTACAGTGAGTCGGGTGTTTAACAGCAACTGATAATCAGTACACGTACAGTATTTGAAGCATGTACACTATTTTAACAGTGAGCCACCAGTATGACGGTGGTGTTTTTACACTGCCTGCTAGCTGGCCAAAATTAACTAAGAAGCCTTAAATAAATACATGCTATAAAAATAGTGAATGTTTGCCACTTGGTAGTTATTTCTATAATTTATATGTTTGCAAAACAGTTCTGACAAACCTAGTCTAGTTTGCCTGGATTACCAAAGCATTTTGCTACACATATGCATGTCAGAAGAAATTCAATCACAAGCTTGTATTTAGTAACAAATCAACAGTAGCAAGTTATTTCTTGAAAAAGTGTTGAAAAAGATTACGCTAAAGACAATTAAGGGTGTAGCCTTGTTGTCCTTCTCTCAACTTTCTCCAATCCAGTATATCCTTAATGACATGAGGTATCAAATTGTCTTCAAATTTAAATTAGATTTAAATTACTTAGGTTCCTTAGACTCATTTGAAAATCCCATCCCCAAATCCCAGGACTGCTACCTGAATCAGTGCTCACAACACGGGTATTGTTACACCTAGACACACGGTAAGATGCTAAGAAGGCTGGAGAAGATGCTTTTCAGTGAGAGCTTAAAGAACTAAGGCTACTCAGCTTGTCCAAAAGAAGATGTTTGAGAGGAGCGTGTGTACCTGCCCAATGAGAAGAGGCTGGCAGCTCATTTCACGGGGGAAAGCCTACAAAGATTCTGTGCTGCAAACTGAGGTCAGCAAGTTCAAAACAAAGTCAGGCGTTGTTGGTAGTAGCAGCGATTAATGTCTTGAACACCACACTGAGGAAAGTAAAACCAAGTATTGGGCTGTGCCCAGAAGAAATGTGGTGGCCTGTGACGGAGAAGGAGCTGGCCCCCTAAGTGACCTGAGCCGGCCCCTCCTGTCCCTGTCTGCACCAGCCAGCGCGGTGCCGTGCCGGTGTCACCGGTGCAAGCTGACGTGCTTGGGCTGCTGGCAGAGCGCTGCTTCATGCTCTTCATGCAGCACCCCCCATCCCACTGGCCAGGCTCAGGACACCTCCTGTCCCTGCCCACTGCTGGTGTTGATGCATTAAAACGTATGTGCTGAGCAACCAAAGGTGCTGAAACTCTTTCCAGGTTCAGTGGGAGAAATTGGTGCCTTCTCTGGGTGCAGCAGCATCTCTGCTCATTCTGCCGTGCTGGTAGAGAGGGACAGTGGGCTGCAGGGCTGTGCATGGACTCCAGCTCTTCTCCAGACCCCGCATGCCCACTTCTACTGGGATTGGTAACTCAGAGATGTCCCTTAAGCAATCCCAGCCCTGAGACTGTAGGTGGCTTTAGGTGGTGGCTTTTGCATATTAATTAAGTGGGTAAAGCAATTGCCTGCAAACTTGAAGAGTTGTGCAGACACACAGGAGTTACTCTCAACGTGCCTCTACTGGAGACAATTTCGGGAACCTTGGTTTCCTGAATGGAAGAAAAAAGCATGAGCTCACAGACAAAAGACAAAAGCTTACACACAAACCTGCATCCTCCACATCCCAGGAGAGCATTCTAATTACCAGCTAAAATTAAATTAGATGTAAATCACTAGGTTTCCTTAGGTTCCTTTTCAAATTACTTAAACTTTCCTCACTCCTGCTAGAGCCATCTGCTCTGCAGCCCTGGGTGCAAGCACTCCGGAGGATGCATAAATCTAAATGTGCAGAAGAGGCAATTCTGTGGCCTGGTGGTGGGATGATGGCTAGCAGAGACAAGTCCTGAGCTGTGGTTCCCTCCCCTTGCTTTTAGCCAGTGATGGGCAAATGTGAACTGCATCCTGAATCTGGGAAGCAGGGACCAGACCTGAGGTTTGCCCTGCCACAGCCCTGCTCAGAACTTCAGTAGCCCACAGGAGTGTGTGGCTGGGGTTCTGGATGCAAGGGACTTTTGCTCTATGCTTTGTTTTGACCGTAGTGCTGTTGGTATATGCTTAGCATTATTCAAACAGGCATAAACAGGCAAGGATTCAGACAGAGTTTAGGGACTTTGTTTCAGCTCTGAACCACTGCAGAGCTCAGCCAGGATCCAGGTGCTCATTGCTCACAGGAGGGTTCTTTACTGCATTTCTGCCTGCCTAGGAGTTCGGACATGGGAAGTCCAAAAATATGGATGGGTGGGGAGTGCTGGCATAAGGGGTTTCTGACCTGTCCCCTCGGACTTCAGCCCTAAAAGATGCATTCCTGGTCTTTGCCCTAGGCATTTAAACCCACAGCCAAATCTCAGGGGAGTTTCAATAAAGTCTAGATGTGACTGTAGTGCCGTCATTAAACTTCTGTCGTTATCTTCCTCTTTATTGCAATTTGCTCAGCTAAGTCACACATATCTCAATACAAGCACTGATTTCCTGCATTTGTGCTTAAGAGGGTTACCACAGTTTAAGTAGTTCACTGCATTTAAACTGTATTTAATCCACTGTAAGAGTTTCTTTCTTACCACATGGTTACATGCTTTTTGTGATGGTCTTTTAAAAGATTGGTATAAAAGTGCTTCAACAATGAAGTTGCTTTATAATGAAAACTGCAACAGACATTTCAGTCTGTAGAACTTACCAGAAGCAGAATGTGTTTCAGCAATAAATTATTCTGTATTATACCAAGGCAACATATAACAAAAATGGCCTGATTATGACTTGCCATTTTTTTTATAACAAGCAATTTAAAACAAACCAAATGTAGGGCTATTAGCTCAATATTTGGTTCTGAAATCTCAGGCCAGCTTCAGAAGAAATGAATAAACAAATTCTATTAGCTGGATCTAACTTATAAAGCAGCTAGAAAGAGCCAATTTTGGAGAAAAGAGATAAAATCATTTCATCTGATTATTTAAGATCACTTGTGACAATCACAGCAGAGCATTCCATAGCTCTGAGGTAGCGGGTTTGCTCCCTTATTAAAATATTCCAGATTTACTGGCCTTAATTATTTACTTAAACTCTTTGTAGTTCAAAAGTGTTTGAATACTTTTCACTGGAAAGGCAATCTCCAAATACTGCTACGCTTAACACATTCTGTCAGAGCGATGCGTCTGTGTCTTCTTTTTAAGTACTTGCACCCATGATCTTATTTATCAAGTGTACCATCCTGCCACAACTTTATGGAGTAAGTTTTGATTAAATCAGTATCTTATTTAAGTATTCATTGCAATAGTGAAAACAGCAAAACGTATCTAAAATAACATTTTTTTTCCAAAATGTGTAAGATGTTTTTGCAGAAGTCGTATGAGAGTCTGCAAAATTTAGACTCAAAAGTGATCAATTCAGCTTAGAAAATTGAATGGAGGCTTCCAGCTTGTTTTGCTCTATCCTTAGATACCTCCACATGAGTAATTGCCTCATCTGCAAGCAAAAGTATGTTTGTGTTAAGATCGCTGTCTGTGCTGTAGACTGTTGGGGTTATGTCAGTAAATGAGCAGAGGCTCATCTCCGGTGCTGCTGTACTTCCAGTCCTGGAGCTGCCTATGAATAAGGTGATCTATGTATCTGTGCTACAGGTTTTCATCAATGGCATTACTCTAAAGCTTAGATATAAATATTATCTGCATTTTTTAGTATTTCAATGTATAATTTTATATGTATATAGGTATGAGGCTTATATAGATATAGATGAGGCTTTGGGCAACCTGGTCTAGTGGAGGGTGTCCCTGCCCATGGTGGGGGGGTTGGGACTAGATGATCTTTGAGGTCCCTTCCAACCCAAACCATTCTGTGATTCTGTGATTCTATGATATATAAGTATATAAATATTGTTGTTGTTATTCTCTTTTAAGTTGTTCAGGTTGGATTTCCTTGCCTTGGAAAACAAGATGGGGTCGCTGCATTTGAAGTGAATGTGATCATAATGAATTCAGAAGGCAATATTATTCTCCAGACCCCTCAGAACGCCATCTTCTTTAAAACCTGTCAGCAAGGTAATGCTAAAGAGAGGACATGCCAAAATACCGTTAGACTTGGTCACCTAACTTTCTGATGTTTCATTCAGGATAGTGGCTAGAGAAGGTGGAAATAATGTGGTCACACAATGTGTCACAATGGTGGTGAATGCCAGGCTGTTCTGGTTCTGGCTGTGGATTTGCTGTATATTTACCACATGTTTACTAACCTTTTTCTTACTGCCAACTACGTCTCCTCTAGCAGACTGAGTTGGAGGCTTTTCCCCTCCTGTTCATAGCTCATCACATCAAGGACGTTAATAGAAATGTATCGTATGAGAAGCACCTGTTAGTAAGTGATTTGAGGTACTTAGAGGAGAGCTAGTCCTGTGAAAACAAGCTGAGGCTCACATTTCCAGAAATGGCACATAATTTGGAGAGCTGAACTTCTGGGATCTGTAATTGGGACACCAACTTCGATTAATACTGGTTGGTGCCTTAGTTCAACAGTTCCTTAAATCTCAGCTTGCACATCCAAAACAAATGCCTAAATCCTAAACCAGAACATTTTTGCAAAATTTTACCTTCTCTGGAGCTCAGATGGCAACCTCTTAGTTTTGGATACAGGTGAGGTGGTGGAAGCTGGTCCTCAGTACTTGGCAGTCATCAAGCAGGAAACACACACAGGATGCACTGGTAGAAGGAGGGCAAAATGAAGTTATTGCAATGTTTACTTGGAAAGGAGGGAACCTGTTTAATCAACCAGTATATGAACCATAAGCACTGTGTAATAAGCCTTCCTGGATTGATTTGTTACACTACAAACAACTATAATTATCACTTTGAACTGATGCTGTGAAAATTGATAAATCAGTGTCTCAGATAAGGCAGTTACCCCATGTCGTGTGCAATTGTATCAAATTAACCCAGGACAGGGCTGATGTACAAAGAGCGAGATTTTTAGTCTTCTATTAAATCTTTGTTCCCAGTCCCACACTTTCTTCTCTGCGCTCTTCTCTGAGCTAATGGGCTGTAGCGTGGCTTTAAAGAGCGAGCAGCAGGAGCAGGAGCTGTTTATTCTTTGAAACCTCACTACACCTAAATAGCAAAGCTGCTTGTCTCCTTTGAAGCCTTCCTGCTGCCAATTAGCCCAGGGAAAGTGGAGGAGGGGGAGAAGAAGTGGGCAGAGAAACAGGAAGGAAAATGGGGGCTTAATGGAAGCAAAATCAATCAGATCTCATGTATGAAGTTGTGTGTCTGATGTAAATACAAAACATTTGCTATCTTTTTATTTTCAGTTCAGTTCAAAGATACTGAACTTAATAAACTTTGGAAATAGCGTTGGGGGAATCTAATAGGAACTGCAGAGTTACAGGTGTGTTTTGTGAAAATATGTGGCTTAGAGAGGGCTCCAAACTCACTTTAGTAGTAGCATTTCTCCAAGTTACGGTTCTGTACTATTACTTCTTGTTGTTACCATTTCAATATGAGATGCAGTATTTAACAATTTAGCAGTATTGCGTCATATGGGCCTCTCAGGAAAGATGGGGGTGATTTTTGTCCCAGTCCTTTGTTCACAGAGCCAGCTGAGAGACACAAGGGTGATTTTCCAAACTCTAGAGGTGGGCAGAGGAGTTTCCTCACCCCATCTCTTCCAGTGCGTACTGAGATAACTCCCATTCCTGCCTTCTGTCTGGTGAGGTGGACACCGCAGAGTTTTGGGACAGATGCTGAGAAGGATGAGAATGTCCTTACCAGTCAGTGTTAGAGTAGGGGTGACATTTCTTCCTCTGAAAGACGTCGTTCACGACGAGGAGCTCCGATTCCTCCTGCCAGGGCCCCGGTCACTGTTTCCAGTCATTCTTGGCCATCCGGAAGGGCCCCTGCCAGAGGAAGTGAGGGGAGCAAGGGAGCAATTTTGTGGGAGAGGAGAGGATTTGTTGTGGCTAAGAGGTGGTCACACAGAAAATGATGTTTTCCTATTTTTCAGTTTGAAATGTTATGTATTTAACCATGCATTTTCCATAATGAATAGCAGCTCTGCATTCGCGTACAAAGGGAGAAAGATTTCCAGAAAGAGTCCTAGAGTACACTGTTGGAACACAATAAGACCCAAAAGCCTTTACCACTGTTACTACTGCTGCAAACAGCTTTACTTTCAAAGCAACTCTTTTTGCTTCATGTATCTATGGCCTTGGTTAGAAGAGCATTTTAAAATTACATGTTTCCTCCTCTCTCTTTCCTGTTTGTTTGGCAGTTGTACACAATATCCAGCTACCTGATCAGTACATCAGATTTTCCTTCCTTTTCTTTAGTCTCGGAGTTACCCTTCGTATCCCACTGAATAGGGAGCTATTACATGAGTGCAGCAGAATAGTGCTTGTAGTTATAGCAGCAAACATTTCCTGTGGCTCTAATCAGCTATTAGCTAAATTTTCAAAACCAAAAGTTTATTTGTGTATGAGTCTAACAGATATGTCACCTGACTCAAATATTAGAAGAAGGGAGAATCATTCAAATTTTTTAAGTCCAGGATGATGTTTTCCTGTTTTCCACTGTATTAATAGGAGTTGCAGTTTAAAGAATCTCTGTGGGCTGTAAAAATGTTTCAGGCAACCTGACCCTCCTGAATTTATAGACATCCTGGTACTCCTTGCCACTTTAAACAAGTGCACCTTAAAGACTTTAACACTTCAGTTTGAACTCAGGTATTATTCAGTTGGGAATCAGTGTGAATCCATGGTACATTTTTACAGCCTAAGGATGGTAGGTGCTGGCACTTCCCAAAGAGGGAACGGAAAAGAGGTAGGGATGCTGTTGGCAGGTGTTGTCAGTCATGTATGTTTACAGCACTGTTACACTAAAGGAAAAAAAAAAAAAGATGTGATGCTGACGTTACGGCCAATTGCTGTCGAATAGATGGCCTTAGAGTTTGGGTTGAGACAGATTGGTCTACCTCAGAGTTTTTGAACGTTGCTACTTGGAGTGTCATCCAGCATGCGTCATCTAGCATCAAGATGAGAAGGTCATGCCTACTCTGCTGAAGCTGCCCTGTGGCCCTGGTACCACTGATCACAAGTGATGTTCGCTTTTTCTAATGGCAGTAGGCAGCCTCTCCTGCCTGCCGCCTTCTCTGTGAGAGATCTAGGAAGGTATTTTTGAGCCATTTTTTTTCTACCCAGCAGTCATGTTTTCATGGGCTTCCATAGGGTTCAATTTGTTTTGCCTCTTGTTCGATGGACTCTGGTGTTTTGAGGATGGTGATGGTACCCAGAGGTTTTCTCATCCTTGCATAATGCAGGCAGTGTTGCCAAATGCTTTAAGCAGTGTTTGATCGATAGTTGAAACGTGAATGAGTTGGATGATGATATAGGGCCACTGTGCAGGAGTGCTTTCATCTTCCTTTCTGATCTCCTTTCATCTATCCTTGAAGCTGACTCTTTCATTTGAGTAGAGATTTCATCACTTTGTCACCTCAGTAGTAACAAATGTAATCATTAATTCAATGCAAGTTGCAGTGCAGTCTAATTAGGGCTGCAGAAATTGAAACTGGTTCTGTGCGCTAAGGGCAGGTCTAACCAGCGATGCAAGTCCTGCATCGGCTGCCTGCTCGTTTCCGCACAGAGGAGAAAGTGCTGGATTGTGCAGAGCATCCACATTGCTTATGCACTTACAGAACAGCAGAGCAATGGAAATGCACGGACTGTCAACAAGTGCGTCGTGCGTTTGTCTGAATGCACGATGAAACCTCTATTTGTAGACTAACAAAAAAGAAACTAATTTCTCTTGAGGAGGTCTTAGCTGAACTTCCATTTCTGTCAGCATTTGCCTGTCTGTCAGCAAATATTTTTACTGTTGCATCAAAGAGGTATATTGATCCTACCGAAAGTTGGCTGACAGCTGAAGTATGTAATACCCAATTAAGATTGTCATTATGTTTTATGAAGCGGAGTGTCCAGGAGGATGCAGAAACGGAGGATTTTGCAACGAAAGACATGTCTGTGAATGTCCAGATGGATTTTACGGGCCTCACTGTGAGAAAGGTAATTTAAAAAAAATATTCTCAACTGTCTTCTTTACGATAATCTCAACAAAACTGTAACTACTGCGCTGCAGCCTCCCCTAAAAGAATGGCTTTTCCTGAAGATTTCATATGTTTTGAGTCCACACATGTAAGAGAATTACTATCATCATCCACAGCCTAATGGAAACATTAATTGCCTGCAAGAAAGATGTTTTCTCTCCAAGAGATTGCTTTTAACAAAAACTGACACAATAGCTAAGTGATCCTTAATCACAGGGAATCCATCTGGCAAAAAGATTAAATAAAATTCTTCTGCTAATGAGGACTAGCTGGGAAACAAAGCACAGGACTTTTGTTGTTCAGCATTTGTTTATTTGGAGATAATACCTAATTCGGAGATAAGATCTAATTTGGAGGCTGCCTGACAACAAAGATGGGAAGATGAAGGAAAGAGTCTCCTTTTCCTTTCCATTAGTGACTAATAGCCCCAAACAACATTTCCAGGAGTGAGGGACCAAGAAATTGAGTGACTTGGCGAGGAAACTAGCTCTTCTTCCTATCTCTTCCCTCACCTCCCTCAGGGATGACTTGCAAATGGAGCAAACCATCCCCATGGGCATCCTATTCCAATGGCATCCTTCACTGAGCCCCCAGATGCTCTGGCTACATCCAAAATATTAAGTACAAAGGATGAGTTCTCTGGCCTGGAGGCCAACTGGAATGGTGCAGTTTGCATTCGTATGTTTAGTAAACTCCCTTACCCTCCAAAAAACCACCTTCCAAACTCCCTGCTGGGAGGAGCCTGTGGCTGCTGCTCGCCCCAGGGCCATGCCCACAAGGGTTTGCCGGTTGTACAGGGACAAAGCTGTGCCAGGAGTGGCACCAACAATTTCACGAGATGGATGATCCTGTTCCCCCACTTGGCCCCATGCCTGGGTGCTGTTTTAACTCACTAGTATGGGCCCAGCCTCGCTCCATGTACCATTTGTGGGCAACCACGAAATGAAGCGTTGCCACCTGACGTGCCTCCCTGGAAGAGCCTTGTGGGGTGGCCACAACTGCAGAGAATTCTTGGGAGAGCCCAGGGGCTCTGGAGAAAGTTCATGGGGAGCATGCAGAACAGTCTGGCCACCAAACCAGGCCATGGGACAGGCTCCCCTAGCCTAAATGAGGCATCCATGCTTATGCTCAGGTGGGGTTCGCTGTAAAGCCTGCCTGGGAACCCCACTGAATTGCTGACCCCTGTGAGCGCAGCCCCTGAAGACACAGTCCTGTCTGCAGAGCTGAGACACCAGCTGCAGCACCAGAGTCCAGTTATAGAGACCGGGGGGGGGAGTTCAAATGTCCCGAGGGCGTAGGAGGGCACTTTGCTCTCCCCAGTTTGGAATTAAACTGTACAAGAGGCAATTTCTGCTTACATATGGAACCAGATTTGAACAAAATTTATTCTTCACCGTTTTTAGTAACGCTCTATACAAATTGCCAGATACAAACCAGAGATGTAATTGATTTAACCCACTTACAAAGATGCTTTACAAAGATGACTTGTTACCTTCAGCAGAAGGAAAAGTAGCTTAAGGAGACAATGCGCTGTGTATCCAAATAGTCAGTTGCTATCATATCAGCGATGTTTTTTTCTGTTCTTCCTGCTCCTCAGCACTGTGTGCTCCTCGCTGCATGAACGGTGGGCTCTGCATCACCCCCGGCCTCTGCATCTGTCCCCCGGGGTTCTACGGCATCAACTGCGACAAAGGTAACTGCCAGCTAAACCCCCTCAGGCTCCGTATTTGGCAAGCTGTCTTTATCCTCTGTGCTAGTTTCCTTCTGGGAGTGGATCTTGGAAAGTCAGGCAAGCGATGAATTAAGTTTTAAAAGGCATTGTTTCATGATTCTTCAAATAGATGCTTTAGCAGAACCTGAGACCTGCTGGAAGTGCTTTTGCAGCTGGATGTGCAAGCATCCATATACACCAGCTCAGTGAAGGGTAATTTAGATGATCTCTTTGGGTGATCCATTGAAAGCTGTGGGACCTACCACAAAATTCACATATATTTCTTGCCTAGGAAAGAATATGATTGCTTTTTGAACTCTAGTTTCATGGAGTAAAATTAGTTTTACTAATTAGTTAGTCCATTAATTTGTTGAATCTGGACACATGAAAAAATAAGTGATTTATTCATTTTTGTTGCTGCATTGTGGCTCAGAAGGGATGAAAAGGAACAATCAGTTGTTCAGAACAGTAATTTGGAACAGTCCAAGCTACCACGTAGTAAAAAACCAAGTAGTTTCCTGCAGAAATACAACTGACCTGCTCATGACAGAGATTACAGGACATCACGTTGCGTTTATTGTTGCAGAACTGTATGAAGTAATGACTAAATGCAAAAGGTCCTTGTGGGCTTTCCAGCAAAATAATGGGAACCTTCCTAGACCTTTAGGTATGCTTGCACAAACTGGTGTGGTCAAAGTCCTTCTGACTTGTATCTAGTCCTTGATGAGACCTTTACTGTATGTAGAAAATGTTTCCAAAGTACATTGTCATGAAAAGCTCCCAATGTCTTGAAGGATACTGAACTGTAAGATTAATGTGAATCCCAGCTGTTTGGTGAAAAGTCACATCTAATACTATGTAAGTAATTTGGCAGGTGACAGACACAGCATTTGCTTCTATGTCACCCCACAGCAAAAACTTACAAAGGTTTCTTTCTAGCTAAACCTCAAACCTCCCAAAGCATTAAGAACTGTAGTGAAGTATCCTCTTGTAGAAGTAACTTTCAGTCCTAGGTTATGCTCCTTTTATCAGACACCGGCAGTTTCAATAGCAATAGCGACTTGATCCTTCAACGAGCTTTAGGTGTGAGGATTGATAGAGATGTGACACAGTCTGTCCTCAGGGATCTCACTGCTGTATTGTTCACTTGTCTCTTTCTATATTGACTTGTGTCCCCCCCCATGTAAAGCGTTATGTACAAAAAAACCACATTTCAGTCTTCCTTTGTAAACCAGATGAAAAGATGTTAATGCAACTTTTTTAAACCTCAATGTTTATTTCTGATGAGCAGCAGAAAACATTAAGGCCAACACAGGCTGAGTTCATATTAGTGAAACGCCTGTTTTATTTGTTTCAGCAAACTGTACAACCACCTGTTTCAATGGAGGAACGTGTTTCTATTTGGGAAAATGCATTTGTCCTTCGGGCTATGAAGGAGACCAGTGTGAAATTAGTGAGTAGCATCTCCATGTGCTTGCTTTCACTTACATCAACTTATTCTAGTGTCAGTGTGTGAATGATGAAGCACTACCTGCCTCTGCTGGGCTCACAGCGAGGGTCTGACATGGCAGGTTGGGGCCCTCAGAGTCTCAGATGCCGCATGACTCCAACTGCGTTACTTACTGATGAGTTTGATGCGTTGCTAGACCATCTCACCCCCTGCCTTGTTTTGTTCTTACTAGTAACTGGGCTTGGTGACAACCCTCAAGCCATAAGTACGCGAGCAATACTCTGTGGCAGGCAGATGTGCTGCTGCGCCAAGCCCGCGTGGAGCAGCTATTTTCCAATGTTGCGGCAATTCGCACTTGGGCACAGCAGATTAGGGTTGAACCCGCAGCTTTGAACGGGCTACTATAAGCTGGGAATGGAAGGGTTTGGGGCAAAGGGAGGACTGAACCGTAAGAGCTGAGAGTTTTCACTTAATGTATTAAGTTGCATTCACATGGCAACTTGAAAATCCGTGTCGCAAACATCAAAGCGACAAAAACTTTTCAGAAGTTTAGCATCAAAGCACTTCAAAATATTTTAGCTAACGGGTGATCCAAGTGTGCTGTGTAAAGCTGGGGGTGGAGAAACGGCCAGGCTGGAACAGACCTGGGAGGTCAGCTGTCAAGTATTTGATCTCACTAAAAGAAGAGTTTTCTCACAGCTCTGTTAAATTGGATTAATTCTATAGTTCCCCACACTTGAATAGAGATGAGCATTTTGGTTTTGAGAACATAGACCCAGGTCATTCTTTCTGGGCTTAAAGCTTCTAACAGGACACTGTGTGAGGAGCTTCCCCTGCTGTAAATAATCTCACTGACGTTCCCCAGTGCCTTCACAGGAGCACAGAGAGCAGCATTTGGCCTGGGATACGTAAGAGCTGATTTCTTAGTATGCATCGGCAGAGACATGCTCTTCTCACAGTTATGAAATTTGTATCATCAAATACTTTGCAATAAACTCTATCATGCTGTCAGCCAGTACAGGACAATAAATTAATTACTGTACAAAGGAAGAACACAGATACTCTAAGACCTACGTTTTGCTCAGTATTTATGTGTAGATAAACAGTAGACGTATGTAAATGTTTCACCATATCTCTATATGTTACAAGGCATTTTGCAACTCCTTTTTACCTAATCAAAACTGGAGCCAAATGGAAGCAGTAAAGCTTTCTTGTTATTTAATTAATACCGATTGCCCTTTGATATAAGTTCAGATCGGATGTCAGCAAGAACAACAGTGTGGGTTTCCACTGAATTTACCTTTGCTTACATCAAATTCAAAATTGACACTGACAGAATCTTATTTCTTTCTTCAGTCCCCAAGAAGTCAACTGCTGATACTTCTCAGATGGTGAATAAGGTTTGGTTCAAAGTTTGAGAAGAATGTATTTTATGTCAATGGTGGGTTTTTGAGGAAAATTCTTTGAACTGATACCATAGCACTTATAATTAAGGGTGCTGCACTTAATTGATCTGTCCCAGGGGCTCTTAAATTCATTGTTGTCTACTGCTACTTGGGATAGGTACAACTGACTTTGGCTTCTTGCAAAGGCTTACCTGTGCAACTCAAATTAAGTTAATTAAAATACAGGCAGTAAGCTAGTTTCTGTACAAAAGAGAGAAGAAAAAATTAGGATCAGCGTATGCTAAGAGCTAAACTGGGGTCATGTTGATGAGAGCAAAGCAAGCTATGCACTTGCCTTGGCTTTTGTAAAGCTGGGACAGCAATTGTTAGACCGTGATTGATGGCTCCTGCCACCTCTGGGCACTGCACCAGTGCCAGCGCAACAGTGGAAGACTGCAGGAAATGCAAGACGAGGCTTGGAAACACCAGAGGAGAAACACAACTCAGTCTCTTTTAGATCCAGAGCCAGCTACATTCAGTCATGGGGGTCTTGAAATAACAAGGGGAGAAAACCTTTCCACAGGCAGAAAGCCATCTTCGGAAAACTGCAAAGTTGTTGGTTTTTTTAGTAATATTGCTTAGAGATTGTCTAATAGTTGAATCACTCTCTAAGACTCCTGGGAAATGTACTGGACCCAGTCTACAATAGTAACAAGCATTCACAGTCTTCCAGATTTTTTCTAGCTCTAGTTATGCACTGTCTCTAATTAGTGTTTCAGTTTGAGTCCAGAGAATTTTATTTTGTTTTGGATTCCTCCCCCATTTGTCACCAACTGTTTTGTTGCTTGTTCCATTTCTCAGTCAATATCAGAGAGAGTTATTACTCTTTCCTTCATTCTGTGAAAGTATCTCAGTCCAAAGTTAATTGAGCTGTGCTGAGCCAAATGCTTGCCTAATGTAACTCGGTGGAAGTTGGTATCACACCCCTTGACCCATATTCTCCAGATTTACATCAAGAACTAGGAAAATTCCTGGATTTCCTTAGCATTGCTTCTTTGGGTCATTGATTACTTAGGATCCAAATGCTTGCAAACTAGAATACCTAAAGGTTCCCTCTCCACAGACTCCTCAGGGGAAGTTGTGCTTTTGCAGAAACTGTCCCTAGCACAGTTTGTTCCATCAGCTGGTTATGAAGCTTGTTTCAGGGCTATTAAAATAATTATGCACATTAAGAACAAATGTTTCTTTTATATTGACAATACACACATGCATCGCAGAAATCTGCTGGTGTTGAGAGCTGAGCAAGCACTGCTTGGGGCATTGAGCTCCCAAGGGGACAGGCTGTGATCCTGAGATGAGTGCATTTGCTGAGGTTTTCAAGCACAGCAAGCCAGTGTTGATGCTTAAATTATTACATGCAGGTCTCAATTAACATTATTTTTTTTAAAAGAGGAAAGGAAGCAGTTTGCTGCCCCAGGTTCCAGTTTTTGTTTGCTCACAAATTCACTAAATATTAGTGCTAAATCTAGGAAGGGCATTTTGGTTTGTTTTTTTTCTGAAGAATCTAGAAAATGTTGTGTGATTAGTAACAATGAAAAAAAGGTTTTGGACAACAGTGAGAAAAGCTGGACTGGTACATACGGCCACCGAAGAGGCAAGAGGCTGAGGGCATAGTTTCTGATGGCCCAAGAGTGCCCAGGGACATGGCAGGGAGCATCCCTTGGTTTAGGGGTGACCTAGCTCATGGGTGCTGTGCTTGCCCTTCCTAGAAATAAGTAAAGATTTAATTAGTTCAATAATGCAGACAAATTCTAAGAAGGGATCGACAGTCTGGTGATGGGAGACTTGATGTTAAGTTTGAGGAAAGCTCTTGGTGTGAGTCAGGCCCAGGAGGAACTTGAGTGTGGGTCTCCTCCACCAATGTGGGTGTCCTCCATCCCAGGCGAATCAGGGCCAAACAAACCTTCCTACACCAGCGCCGTCAGACCCAGCCTCTTCCTTTGGCAGAGTGTGAATGTGAGGGAAAGTAATTTCCGGACCAAAAGCCTTGAAAAATGTCTGCCAGTTCTAATTACTGTTACCAAAGTTGCTCTGTTCTTTGCAAACAGGAAAGAAGGGCATGCTTTTTTAATGTGCCTTTAGTTCCTGAGCTGTGGTGTGGAACAGCCCTCACTGCACCATCCGCAGCATCACGGTGCTCCACAGCCGCTTGTTACAAGCTGACAGACCCAGCCAATCTATGGAGTGTCTGCAAGTAGCTGCCATACCGCTCAGTTCCTGAGCGTCCTATTGCTTAAAATCTCTCTTGGATGCCACCAGATTTTCTTCTGCTTGTGACCCCCTGGGTATGGATCCCAAACACAAAGTCTGGGTGCTGCTGCCTCCTGCACCACGGGTGAGGAGAGCAGGAGGCAATACTGCCCGGTGGCATGGGGGACTCTGCAGAGTCCGAGTGGCACAAATCCAGGCGAAAGCTGCACGGGCACACGGGGTTTGGCCGTGCCAAATTATTGTCATATTTTCAAAACAGAAGAATACATATAAATTGGAAGCACAGACTTGAAGCAGAGTGTTCCTGATGGATCCACAGCGCACACTCTTACACCAGCATCCAGTGAGGTTTTTGGGCTTCTCAGACACCTGTCTTCAGTAGGTGCAGGGGACTAAGACCATTGGTTTTGTGGTTTTGATTTCTAGGTAAATGCCATCAGCCCTGTCGAAATGGAGGCAAATGTACTGGTAAGAATAAATGCAAGTGCTCCAAAGGCTACCAGGGAGACCTGTGTTCAAAGCGTAAGTACCAAAGCCACTCCATCAGTCCTTGTTACAGGACAACTGGTTGTACAGTATCTTTTTATGTAATGTCAGCACTAATTGTCAAAGTATTTCAGGTTAATTTACTTTCTGGACATACAGCATACACCAGACTTAAGGGAATTCTGAAACCAGAAATGTGAGGTATTTACAAAAGCCTCCCCACAGTCTCTTCTGTACTCTGAGTTTCTATAAAACAGCAATGTGTCAGCTCAGCAGTTTAGTAACAGAAAAATGCTTAATAAAATGTCAATACATTGCAAGATTAAAATCCAACAGAAGTGCTTTGTGAGAAGGATGCTGGGGGTTACCCTCCTTCTCCCGTTGGTTCTGGTGTATGCTCAGCTCTGCTGTTCGATCTACTTCTCCCTGCGAGAGACTGAGCCAGGCTTTGCCAAGGAGTTGGAGGGGGGGGTGAAACATTTTGGGGCTCTGCACAAAGGCACAGATTTACTGTGAGAGCCCCAGCCCATGCCAGGACCAACCCATCGTGAGGAACAGCAGGGGAAGCAAATATGCAACTCTGTCTCGGGATGAAATGCGAAGAGGTCAGACATATGCGCTCGCTTTCTTACAGCGGTCTGCGAACCCAGCTGTGGCCTGTACGGCACCTGCGCTGAGCCCAACAAATGCCAGTGCAAAGAAGGCTGGCACGGGAGACACTGCAATAAAAGTAAGTGAGAAACAAACCCCAGGAGTCTGTATCGGGGGTCTTACACATCTGATGCCGTACAGAAATGACTGCTTCAAGAGCCTTTCCAGCATCATAATGATACCACACTCCAGTTTTTCTAATCTTTAATCCAAACAATAAAACAAAGATTTTCAGTATTCCATCATTTTAACTACTTTAAAAACCCTCAGAATCATTTAAAAGTGTTTTATCAAGATCACCCTTTTATTAGAAATTCCAGAATCTAGTATCAACCAGGTTTCTTAGATGACCTCATGTGTCTTCCACCCATGATATGAAAGGGATCTAAAGTCCTTCACTGCTCCTCAGTAATGTCAGCTGGCTTTAAAATGTTGGGTAGGCATTTTTAGAGATAAAACTCCACCAGGTTTTAAAGCTGATGATTAAAACTTAGAAAAAATGAAATGTCCTTTAGAAACTTTGGGGAAAACTTGGAAGACTTGTGCAAGATCTATGCTTACTGACTTCAGAGTTTTCTCCTTCTCTTGCCCACCCATCCTCCACAGACCACAAAAGATATTGTCCAAAAAAACTCCTTAAATTGAATTTCTGTTGTGGCTGTTGACCCGTTTGACACCCAGTGAGGTAACTGATCATTTCACTGGATTTAAAATAGCACTATAAAATTATTTGAAAGGCAATTGGATATATCCAGTGAGAACTTCAGATTTAATTATGTATTTCATGTGCAATACTGCTGTAACAGCAGATCTTCAAGAGACATTCTGTATACCCATGAGGTATTAATGTTTATCTTAAACACTGCTTGCTAATGATAAACATTTTATGTTTTCAGTGTCAATAATAAAAAAAAAGTTGAAAAAATTTGCAGCTATAAAACCCACCAATTAGCCATAAGAAATACAAATCTTACATTGCAGCATCAACTGAATGATCATCATTGAATGCTTTTGATGCCTGTGATTTGTATCATTAAAATATATTAGAATAAATATAGTTGCTTCATTAAAAATTAGTATTATCTAACTAAAATGGATTATGCTGTGAAAATTAGGTTTTGGGGGGTCTGCTTTTCTGCTGTTAGCTAATGGACCTGTCTTTAAGCATTTATGTCATTCCCTGAAGGAGAAATACCATTAATAGAAGTTGTGGTTAGAAAAAATGGAAATCACTATGAACTTCAATTCATAAGTTCAATATCAACTTCTTCTTCTTCTTGTAATACTCTTCTTATAGCGAACTGAGATAGCAAGTGAAAAAAATGCATACTATGGATGAACATCCCCAAAGAAATAATTACCTGTACAACAAAACCAAAGCTCGTTAACTGCAGTGTTATGAAGAGTCAATAGCCACACTTTATTGTTAGCTTCCAGGTTTTCCATCCTTAATTGCTTGAAGTTTGGGTACAGTCCTGCTGTGTTTAACGCTGCCAAAGTCTCTTTGTATTCAGCAAAGAAACTGAAAACAGGCCATTTGGGTAAAATTCACCCCCATTTTAAGTGCCCATGTAGGGCTTAAATTGCACATACAAGTCTGCATGCACTGCAGTTCACGCTTTTCAGCTAAAACCAAACATCTCCTGATCTTGAGAGGAGATTTATAGTTAATTTGAGAGACTTACTTCATGCGCCATCAAATGAATGGCTCCTCGGTAAAGCTGTTTTCTTATAAAGAAGTGGTTAAAAAAATCAAACACGGAACTCAGGTTTTCGAAGTCATTTCCATGAGCTTTAAGTAATGAGATGGGTAAATGAAACTATAAATAATTACAACATAATAACTTTGAATTCCATTTTTATTGTTCGTTTTCATTTTCCACAACAAAGCAGCTCTGCTAAGCCTGTTTCAGACTGGTTTTTTTTTCCCCTTAGGTGTTTATTGTCACTGCTGTTCTTTCTCTTTGCATTCAGCCATAAACCAAAGCCAAGCTCAGGTAGCTGGCTCAGATTCCCCCCCGGGGGGGGGGAGGGATGCTTACGCCCGTCACCCACCGGCGTGGGCTGTGCGGTGTGTGAACCCGGGGCTGAGTGACAGCCTGGGTGCACTGATGGTCCCCTGGGCTCCCTGGCAAGGCAAGAGCATCTTTCTGCGATTTAGCCCATCTGGCAGCACCTCATCCATCTGGGGGGCCACAGAGAGGGGCGAGTGGTCGCATGAGGCGTAGCAAAATCCTTTGTTCGAACGGGGGCGGGGGGGATGACTGTTTCCACTTGAAATATTAGCAGTGGATCGCAAGCCCGCTTCTGTGTTCCTTTTCTCTTGAACTGGATAATTTTCCAGGGTACGGAGCCAGCGGTCTGAGCGCCCCGAGGCCAGCAGGCAGCAAGCACAGGCAGCACACGCCTTCGCCAAAAAAGACCGAGGAGCGGCATGTTCCACCCGAATCCAATTATATCTGGTGAACTCCAACATCTGAAATGGTTCGTGTTACACAAAGTTCATAGCCTTCATTAACCTCTCACGGATTGAATGTTAAAATGCTGTTCATTACAGTTAAGATTACCGGCTGGAATTTTATTAGCTTCATTATAAACCACTGAGCTGATATTTACTATTCCTTTTAAGTTTTATAAATACTTCTATAGCATGATTATATAGGCTTCTTCTTTCAGTGCTTTGGATGGTGTTTTGTACTATACTTCAGTTATGTTTGAACTTCCTTTTTTTAATTATATAGCTGCAAATATTTTCCAAAAATTAAGTAACAATATTCAAGCAGAAAACCTCATAGATGCTAACCTGAATCATTTCAACGGCTACAGATTTAATTTGCCTAAGACAAAAGAAAGGTACCTTTTACATTTTTGCTATTGTGTATTTAGACTTTTGCCTAAGAAAAATAAATAAGTTACCTAATTTAAAAAACCTAATAATTCAATGTTATTTTTGGCCTTACAGTTTTGCAAAGTACTGCATATTAAAAATAGACTGCGGTGGTGCCATTTAAGCAACATAATATATTGTAAACAAAGTAGAACTATACTGTATGAACTTTCTGCATCGGCTTGAGGCAATATAATATATTGTAAACAAAACAGCTCTTATGTAATAAACTTTTTATACTGATGGTTATGTATAAAATAAAGAGGCTGCTTTAGTTTTTTGAGTACTACTCTGTGTGGCCTGCTCCGGTCTCCTCAGCGCTGGGTCGGGACGATGGCCTCTCTGGAGCACCCTCATAAAACAGTGGCAGAGTTGTGCTTGTTTCCCTGCCTCTGCTTTTAGCCCCACAGCTCTTAAAAATATTTCAGAAGAGCAACTGCTTCCCCCTCCTTTGCAAAGGAGGGGATAGCACCAAAGGGCAGGTGTTTCTCCCCGTATTTGCCCTCCACCATGTTCTCCTTCCCCCACCCCTGGCGCTGTGAGCCAGCCACCCCAAACTGGTGTGCTCTGTTCATGGCACCCCAGGTCTTCTCCTCGGAGCCTCTGTCCGAGCAGGTACTAGTCCAGCCCTGGCGATGTTTCCTGTTCAAGGGTGATGGTCCCGTGCCCTGTCATGTTCAGGGAGGTGGAAGGTTTGGGTGCTGCCTCTTGCGACAGTGAAGGGCCGTGCAGTTTGTAATGTGCTGCGGCTAGGAAGCAATGAAAATGGTTTCTGCCTGCGCTGAAGAACAATGTCCACTTCAACAAATGATTACTAACTCTTGCTATGCTGCAGATCTGGCAACCTTATTATCTGGGAGATAAATAAGAAATAAATAAGCAACACATAATTTGGGGCATAAAATTAATCTCAGTGAGTGAGAGGTTTTGAGTTACAGAGGAAAAACTAGTTTATTAACCTGACCTTGCTGGTCTTATTTAGTCAATGGACCCATAGGCCAAGTAAAAAGACTTGCTTAGGCCAGAGAGAGGAAGGACAGCTCTCTAAGGATCCGTTTTTTCATTGCCCTTCGTGTGATGGGACTGTAGATGCTGCCCAGCAACCCTGATCCCACAGGAGACCAACCCCCCACCGCCACGCATGGCTGCAGCCCTCCGGGTCCCGTGCAGGGAGAAATGTGGCTGGGGAAGGAGCCAGACCGGCCCCCCGTTACACCCGGGGCGATAACGAGAAACAGCCTGAACAAGGTGGTTTGGCCACTTGCCTGATATCCTTCCCTGGGATGGCTGTAAAACAGCTCAGGTTTGCTGAAGAAGGAGCTTTTCTAGCGTGGATGTGCATACCAGCTATGGCTGGTGGGCTCCAAAGTGGTGGTCTCCCATCCCTCAGGCTCACTCCTCCCGTGGGATGCCTTGCACCTCCCTGAGCTCGCAGGGGACTGGGGGGAGGCTGGGACACGGGGGTTTCAAGTAGCAACGCCGGGCAGGGTCTGACCTGCAGCCAGCGTGCCTCTGTGCGTGCTGCATCGCGGTGCTGCGGGGGATTTTGAAGAGCAAACCTCAGTCCCCGCAGCAGCCCCCATACTCTTACCTGCGTCCTGGCAACCCCCGCACCAAGGCCGTTGTTGATTGTGAAATCAGCTTTCCTTTAAAAAGGGTAATCTGCTCTATCTACAGGCAAGAAGGCAAAATACCAGCTGCTGGTGCGAGCTGGGCTTTTCCCTTCACCGGGACGAGCAAAGATGGCGATAGGGCAGGAAAGGAGCTCAGCCTCTGCCCTGTCCCCGCGCTCCCAAAAGCACCCTCTTCCAGTCCAAAGAAGATGGAAAACAGGGAGCCTGAGGCGTGGGAGAAGACACTTGGGTGATGAAAACCCAGAGGAGGTGGTGAGGATGGAAACATTTGTTGAGGTTTTCCTTAAAAGCGATGAAAGAAGGAGATTAATATTAGGCTGAGGTTAAATGTGTAAGTGCTCTGTATCTCCAGGGATGCCCCGGGAGCTGTTTATAAACATGGATGTCACATTTGCTAGCCTTTTGCTATTTCTGTAACAAAGATTGGCTGAAGCCATTGGTCACACGCCACAGTAAAAAGCACAGAAATTTCTTACTTAAAATTCCTCAGATGTTTTGGCTGAACTTTTTCTGCTCCTGTCAATTTCTTAGAAAGTGCTTCCTGAAAAATAACAAGTGTGTTCTTTTATATGGAGTAATTTATTTTGCTACTTGTTCCAAAGACACTAAATTCTGCTGCTTGGTTTTCTGAGTTTCATGACTGACTTTGGGAAAGATTATTAATCATGAGTAGAATATGGTCGAAAAGGTTGCAAAAGGAAAAAATATTCCTCAAAATACACACTGTAACACAACTCTTTTTCTTAAATAACATCAACTTTCTACACACAAATTTTCCATCACTGCCATTAATGCCGGCATGAGCACAAAGTTTCCTGTGTAGGGGCAGTCTCCCATGTCAGAGAAGTTTTAAGTCCAAGTCTGTGATATCTGACAATCTTAAAAGAAGATATTAATGCCTCAGAAAAAATCCAGTAGAAAGTTGGAAGTAATTTTGCCATTAAAAAATAAACTACAGAATTTATCACATACTCTCACTGGACAGGGCATATGTCATATGCCATAGATGAAAATCAGTTAAAGAAAAATAACAAAAAAAAAGTCAAAATACCAATCTATTACAATAGGTCGGACAGAATCTGCCTCTTTAACAATGTTTGGAAAGTTTGTAGTTAGCTAGAGAGAGATGCCAAACATTGCACTTGTGAGCAGCAGCTATGAGATTATCGAAACTGGTAAAAGAATATAAAATGTTAAATAACTATAGCTCTAGCCCCAAAAATCCCAATTTAAGCAACTGACAAAATTATAGCTTTATAAACTGCTTGTAACAGTGCTTGATAATTTGGATATCTCATATTAGCATCCTGCTAAGTCCAGGTGTGCACCACAGTTCAAAGGACGAATGCATAAGACACAGAAGGAAAGCAGAGGCAGAAGCCCTGAGGGCAAACTGCCGCCTTTGTATCGCCGTTGTTAGCGATCCGATGCACATGCTTTTTTGGGGGAGTAATCTCCAGTTTAGGTTAGTATCCCCTTAACTCTGGCTATGCTGCTTGATTTAAATGTGTCACTTCTAATGCCTCTTCACTTGACTCTCTGGGAGCTGGAAAGAATTTGGGCCTTTTCTTGTTTGTGCTATGCATGAAATAGCAGCATAACTTCACTACCACCGGCAAAGCAAGCAGTGCAGCTGTGCTGCTGGGTAACGGGGCCGGCACCGCCATGCACGCCGGGTGATGCTCACGGGGTGTCTCTGACCGGGCAACAGCGCTGGCTGCCAGGACCTGGTACACTTTCCCCATGCGGTGTGAATGCACGGTCCAGCCACTCTTCTTCCAGCTTCAGCTGCTTTTCAAGGAATAGTAAGGTAAAAAAAATGATAAAGAAGAAATTCAAAGCTGTTCCAGATGAGTTGCTGCCTGTAAGATTCAGACTCCAAAAAGCCAGACTCAAAGCCTTGGCTAGAGCTAGCGCTATTCGCTGAAACACTGCAGCTTTGTTCCTGCTGGACGGATTTGTTATCTTTCCCTCCCTCTCACTTCTATACATCACCTGGTCTATTGAGTTCGCCCACTATGGAAGAAATTCCTTCTTGCAGTTACTAAGGGCAGATCTGGCAGCAGCAGAGCTGGAGCTGCCTGAAGTTACGCCAGGATTTCTCCGGTGCCTGCCCTGCCCACGGCACTGCGTGAGGTTTATCGCCTGGAGCCACAGCTTCACGGCAGGTCCGGGGCTAGCAGAGCAGTCATTTCAGCTCAAGTTTAGAGAAACTGCATCAGCCAAAAGTGCTCTCATCCATCACAGGGATTAAATCCTACTAAATCCCATAGCTCTTGCAGCATGAATATGACTTAATGTTTGGTGAGGTGACGAGGTGCTATGATTAGTCAGTCCATACCCAAACCTTAAGATCATGATTAGACCAGTGACACCCTCTCTACCTCTAAACTGTGCCAGCAAGATTTGCTCAGATGATGCATTAAACAAAAAAGCATCCAGTTAAAATTCTCAATTGAAATGAGTCCCAGTTGTTTGGTTTTTTTTTCTTTTATCTCTCTGATGAGGTGGCTGCTGAGCTACAGGCCAGTCATTTGTGTGCGGATCCCAGCACCCAGCTCCTGCTGGAGCACAGCTAATGGCACGCTCCTCAGTGCCCGGCTGGAGGCAGCCGCCCAGTCTGGCCAGGCAAGTTCACCGACGCTCAAAACCGATGCAAAGCTGAACTGGGCACAGAACGAATGTGTTAGGAGAATGGCAGGGTTTGGAAAAGGCATGCATGTAGATGTAAGCAGTTTTCCTGCTTGCCTCTGTGGCTTTCTAAAGTTCGCAACATTCAGACAATTTAAATCAACTGTCACAATTTACAGTTAGAAAAAAAACCACTATATTTTTGACTTAGAACAACATATTCTATTATTTATACTGGTTACAGAAATTGCATTTTAATCTCTTTCCACGTAGCCCATCAGAGGACAGAAACAGCCTTGTTGCACAAATCTTTCCATGGAAATGTGAATTTTTCAGAGGGTTTAGCACACATACCCTGTCTGGCAAAGTTGCAGCTCATAAGCAGTTCAGATGCATACGAGGGACATCCTCACAAGTCCCTTCTAACACTTCCTTTCCTGGTGTATGCTTGCAGGATCTTATGGCTGGGGAGGGAGTAGAGGCCAACCTGTGCTTTAACCACATACTTTGCAGAAGGGACCTCTCTCCTCCCACCAGGTCTGGAGGGATAAGCTCAAGCTGCTTCCGGACACATGTGCCCTAAAATGACAGAGAAGATGTGAAATATGGTGCTGGCTTCAGTACCTGGCCTTGCTGATGCTACCTGGGTAGAGGAGGAGGTGAGGCTGCCCACAGCCAGCAGCAAATGGAGCCCCGCAGTACCCAAAAAGAGAAACACCTCTTTAAATCTTGCTTTTCTTTAGAACATTTAAATATTTGTCAGGGTGTCTAAACCAAAAGCCTAAATGTCCCAGAAGGAAAAAGGTCTGCACTCAAGTCCAGCAGCGCTTCCAAAACATCTTTCGGATCCAAAACATGTTTTGGATATTTGAAGTCCAAGTAGATTTTATTGGGTGAACGAGGCGTTGGCTTGAACTTGCAGTGACACTGTTCACACTGCCTGTTGGCTCAACATGCCCCACGGTGCCTGAAAAGCAGAACACGAAACCAGTGTGTCATTCAGACAGCAGCTCCAGTG